GTTAGTATGACCGTTGACTTGATGCCGCGTTGTGTGGCTAAGTCACAACAGTCTGTGAAGCCTTTAAACACGAGGTCAAAGGTCATCCATCAGTTTGTGCGGCTGGTCTATTCACCCGATAGGTACTGATATTTATCATTTTTGCCACTTCAAATGGTTGTGTATAATTGCCAACTTGAAGACAAAAGACTGATTTCTTTGCGGAAGCATGTTTCATATTACATATTAAGATCTAAAAATGCCTTGCCATCAGTGATGTGGAATCTTTTGTATGGTTCATTACGTTATCGCTTAACGGTGCTTACCAGCAAGACAATCATATTCACTCCCCAGCCAGAGAACGTTGTCCCACAAAAAATCATTTAATTGTATTTGTATACACTATTGATTATCATTAGGAAATGTAAAATTGTTGGCCACATTTCAGCCACAAAACTGTGAAGCCTTATGTCAATGTTTCTTCTCATCTTCCTGTTTTGATACATTCTTCCGCATTGAGGTCTTTGTATATTGTAATGTCGTTTGAGGATGAGCGCATTGTGTGTTTTCATTCATTCTCTCGTCTTTCATTCTAGCTTCTTTTTATTTCCCATCGTTTACTGCATCCACACAATCTTGTTATCGAATGTTTCAGGCTTACACCGCTGAACTTCGTTCATGGCCCCGTAAAGAATAACTTGTTTTATTGCCGAATGATTCTGGCTCAGTTAAAGAATTATTGATGGAATCTACAAGATGGGTTGTTTGATTGCTGTACCGATGGACAGCTAGAGTTCATGAGATATGGCAAGAATGTCGCAATGAATATTGTCTTGGCCTCCTTTGTTCACCATCCAAAACTATGCGTGTGATGTTGTACTGACTAGATAGTTGACCCTGTTTGTGTTCATCATTCCTATTCCATAGTTTGAATAACATTCAATCTGTCCTCAACCAGGTAAATATTTGTTGTAACACTAGGATCAGCTGTTGAACCAAGTGATGATGTAGAAATTATAATCAGGTAGCCAGCATGCCAGTCTGTCTGTTTGTCGTATTTGTGTGACCAGCGAGGCAATCGGATTCTGCTTAACAAGTGACAGTGTTGATGTATTGTGAGAAAATATTGTTTCAATGACTGGTCACTCCGGCTTCATTGTTACCAATCCGATTATTTTGATGTCCATCAGTTTTGCGTGCGGTTGCGCAATGTTGTCAAGGGTGGGATTTCCGATCTGCCCATCTAAGCGCCAAGTGGTTTTTATGTAGACGTGTCTCCAGTTGTTTCGCTTACATAGGCCTGGTAAGTCTTGTCAGGGAATAGCGTATATTACACCCGCTTGTTCCTGTGCCTCAACGGGTTCTTTGATCTTACGAAGCTTACTTCAAAAGTCGTTTATGAGTCTGTGAGCGACTTTAACTCCATACTTCCCTATAATGCACTCCGTAGTCCCCGAAATTCCGTTTATGTAGCGCAAAATGGTCTGGTCTTCGTGCACGTCTTTACGAATAGTCCAGTATAGCCGCTTGGCAAGAATAAATTATGATGTCGTTCTCTTTCTTTTCTTGTGGTTCGGGCGTGTTGTGGTGTGTGGTTACTCTGTGATGTAGGATTCGCACACAACTCTTTGTGCGTGATCGGATGTTTGCTATTGAACGACAGTATAGTGCCACCGGTTGCAGATTTGCGATATGCGATCATCTGCACGGTTCCATCTGATTATCTCAATAATGTATTCAGGAATGCCATGGAAAATATATATTAATTAATCCTGAGCGGGACAGCAAGACCAAAGCAGCTATAAAGCTTTCAACAGAACAAAAACAAATGGTCGGCTAAATCTAACCTATACACAACCTGTCGGATCATCAATTGACATCCGATGGAAAGGCTGTTCTGCTAAAAGGTTCAAAATTCAATTATGTGGACACATGTACAACAGAACCCATTGCATCTTTTGAGTCTGGACCGAAACGCAGTGGTCTGGATGAGCAAGTACAGCAATCTGGCAGGCCAAAGTTGTGTCAACAGCCGACTAGTCGAAAGTCAACAAATATCCTAACAACTATTGAAACTAAAGCGCTGAGGATACTTAAAAATGACCAGATCGTCATACTTCCCACAGACAAAGGCAACGCCGTAGCGTATTGAATAGGCAGGATTATAAAGACAAAGTGAACGACCTCTTAAAAGACTCCGAATTGTGTGAACTTGTCAAAAGACAATCTCCGAAACGTATGAGGGCTCAAATCACCAGAACCGTGACAGCTCCTAAGTAACAGAAATCACTCTCAGAAGAACACACTAAATACCTTAGACCTAACGAGGGACCAGTGCCACGACTATACGGGCTACCAAAGGTTCACAAGTTCATTGAGATCCAGGACGGCCCTGAACTGCCAATTAGCGAAGTTCCTCATTCGCATTTTCCAACTATGTCTACCTCGTCTAACTGATAACGCGAACAGCTCAGCTGATTTCCTGCAACAGGCCTTGGGTTTCAAGAAGAAGACGCACTGGTTTCCTTCGATGTTACGTTGCTTTTCACTAACATACGGAAGGAATTCGCCATAGAATGTTTGAAGCTCCTGATAAGTAAGGACAACAGCCTCCGCAGCGGGACGAATCTTCTTCCGGAAAAATTGATTCAGTTAGTGAAGTTCTGCATACAGACTTACCTAGAATTTGACGGCCGAGTTCACCTGCGGAAGAGAGGCACACCGCTGGACTGATCAATGTCGGAAGTGCTCGCAGACGGCGTAATAAAGCATTTTAATTCTGAAGCCCTTCAAAGGTTCAAACCTAAAGTTTGGCTTCGATATGTGGATGACACATTTGTTGTTTTACCTCGGACTCAACTTGGCCAGTTCCACCGTTTCAAGTTGAACATCACCCACAATTGATCGCAGCTGTCGCATCCCATAGACTTTTCAGTCGGCAACTTTCGAACAGAGAAGGCACTAGACTCGAGTTTCGCTCTCATTACAGCTCATCAGTGGTGCATATCCTCGCCACTGCCGGGACTAGAACTCCGGGCACGCTGTTCATGAGACAACCGTGTTCACCATTGCACCATTGGCCTCACATTAGGCACGACCGAATTATCATATGTGAACACTCAACCACTTTTGCTTGTGAGTAATGATCAGGTTGCCCGATCGCCTCGAGAGGAGACAGTTATTGTCTGTTAACTCCAATCGATCACCCCGCGATCAGGACTTCCTAGACAGTTCGAAATCTCCGATCTCATTAAACCTGGTAGGCGAATTTTTAGATTCCACAGTTACGTGAATACCAAAATCAATGGAATAACCTTTACACACGAAGAAGAAAATTCACAGCTAGCGTTCCTCGACGTATCGATTATAAGGATATCTGATGACGAGCTTGAAACCACTGCCTATCGTAAACGGACAATAACTGATGTCATTCTCAGATTCGACAGCAATCATACAGCCCGCCAACTTAAATGTTGCGTGCGAACGTTGTTCCGACGTGCAGACAGGTGCTGCAGCTCATCCGAATTCAGAAGACAAGAACGAGAAGACCTGTTCAAATTGTTCACTCCCGGTGGGTACCCCTGTCGTTTCATAAAGGCATCTACCGGAGGGTCCGCAAGAACTGAACATGTAAAACCCAAAACGCGAATAATATTGCCATACATTAATAAATAGATTGAGAATAACACAACTCTACGAGCAATTTGTAATACTCTACGCTTCAACCACCTCGGGTGGCCTTCCTCAGGAGTGTCGTAATCGAAATATTCACTGCACATCTGAAGCAGTACAAAGGATGGTTGCAAACAATGGGTATCCAAATGTCACAAGTCAACATCAACATCCCTTTCAGTCTTGGTGAACACTAAGGGCCGTGTAGAACCACATGAACAATCTGGCGTGATCTGTGCGATTCCATATCTCGGGTGTGACCAACACAATGTGGGAGAGACAAGTAAACAGCTGCACAGACACGTGTACGAACACAAATTAGCGACAAGCCGACCCTCGATCACAACTGTGGCAACAATGCGCAGACGCAGGTCACGAGGTCAACACGGATCATGTGAAAGTGGTCGCGCGGGCAAAACTGAAAGGGGAACGACTTGTACTGGACGCTCTATTCGTGGAATTCGTTTAATCGAAAGGTAGACGTAGACAGACACCACGAAAGACGAGCGAAAACAGACCAACAGGCGAACACGATGAGCGACAGACAATCTCATTCCGACACATTTATTTGTTTGATAACGAATCGTCGTGTGGATTTGAAACATCGTAGTAAATCGTTCGGTATGTGCGTATTGTTATTGTTACTATTATTATTATTATTATTATTATTATTATTATTATTATTATTATTATTATTATTATTATTATTATTATTATT